AAGTGCCTGTCTGATCTCACCAGTGCGTCCTGGTTTTCACGCTGGGTGGGAAGTTTTCTAAGCAGCTGCAGAATAGTTAAGACTTGGAACATTACAGACATGGCGTCGGGTGTGAGGAGGTGGGCGCCCTCGGAGCTGTTCCAGGTGCGGTCTCCGGCGCAGGCCTCCACCCAGACCTCCAGCAGCAGAGGTACCAGCGTAGCCGCAAACATCTGAATGGACTCTGCTGATTCCAGACTCTCACTGCCCACACCGCCAGTGTCCACCTCTGGTCTGTGCACCAGTTTAAAGGGAAAAGAGCTTTACATCTACCGTTCACACGACTGTAAGAGAATATTTTTCTTCTCCTAAATGACATCATACCTGAGTTTAAAGGTGGAGTGGGGAGTGGGTTTGGCCCCAGAATTTTCATACACCTTAACGTCGATCTTTTTATAAATTAACTCCTCCCACTTCAGATTCAGAGGGCTAAGGCCGTGCTTTCCACTTGAACCAAACACTCCTTCGGTTCGCACAGACAAGTCCCCCTCCTCTGTGGGTCTTTCCTCAACAACAGCTTGAAGAAAGTTTCCAAGTCTGCAAGATGATTAAGTTAAAAAGGGTTTTATTATGATAAAGAAAAGGATTTCCTCCCTTATTCCCTTATTGAAAGCCTGGAAAGTGCCAAGAAGTTCCAGATCTGTTTGTTTGGTACAGTATTGGACTAGAAAGTAGGTTAGAGGTAAAATATAGGAGTCTAACTTTCTGAAATAAATATTAATAATAATAATAATAATACTAATAATAATAAAATCCTTAACCCCCACACTGCTCCCTGGGTGCCGCACAATGGCAGCCCACTGCCCAACAAGGGGATGGGTTAAATGCAGAGAGTAAATTTCATTGCTTTGTACTTGTAACAGTGTAACGACAATAAAGCTGCTTCTTATTATTATTATTATTATTATTTTGTTTGATCTAGGGCTGAAACAATCGGATTAATCGTGATTAAGCGTTTATTGAAATAACTGTCAACTAATTTAGTAATCGATTAATCGTGGACTGGATTATAGAGATTCTAAAACATACCTTCAGCTGACAGAGCGACCCACTTTGAGCAGTAATTACATCCAAATTGTGAGACAATATATAAATATTTTGCATTTAAGATTAAAAGAAAAATCTATTTTTTGTCAATATGCTCTATCCAGAACTCCCTGAGTGGTTTTAGTTTTAGTTTCACCTGGTTTGATTTCGTAAAAAATCTTCTTTAAAGAACCTTTAAGCTATCCTATTATTAACCAGTAAATCAAAAAAATTATTGACAGATTAATCAATTTACAAAATAATCATTAGATGCAGCCCTAGTTTGATCATGTACCTGAGAAGAACAGACAGCCGCCACTGCTGGCTGGTCACCCTCCTGTCCGGGTGGACTGAGAGCGCCCAGGTTCGCCCTTTGGCGTCCAGAGTCTTCCTGATGCCTCCAGAGCTCTGCCTGTGAGAGATCTGCTCCAGAAAGTTTGTGAGGAGCACCGCAGGTCGAGAGGCCAGCAGAGAGGGGTAATATTCCAGGAAGATGTCCAGAACATTCATGGCGTCCTCCTGGATGCCCGGCTCAATGTGGGTCATAGCACAGGTGAGGTGAGCGCTGAGGAGTGGAAAAAACGGAGCCACTCGTTCTGCTGGCACAGACCGTGCAACAAACCTGTAAGACGTTTCAGATAATGTGTTTAGGTTAAGATCCTAACACCAGCATCATTCAGCCAATGTGTGCCTTTTCTAACCTAAGAACGCGGGTAGCCGCCACGCGAACGTTTCCATCCTTGTCTGTGAGAACAGCTGCGACCTCTGAGAGCAGGCGTGAAAGATGCTGATCTAACAAAGAGGGACTCAGAGACAGCAACTCTTTCAACCCCAACAAGGCACCGTGTTTCACGTTGGCATTGTAATGATGCAGCTGAGACAGAAGCTCCTGGAAATCAAAGACATTTTGAATTGAAGTTTAACGTAATATCTAAGCAATAAAGCACCACAGGAAAGTATTCACACCCCTTAAACCCAACAAATAAAAGACCATCCAACCAAAACGACAGGCAAAGGGATAAGAGCATCGTCTCTGCATGCATGCTCGCTATGAGGGATTGCTTCAGTCAGTAACACAAAGCAAGCAAATGTCAGCTGTTGCTGCTTACTCATCCAGAAGGAGTGAATCCTGCAAAGTTAATAACTGAATGCACTCAGCTGTTGCTTTTTTGGATAAAAAATAAACTTTAAACCACTTTGCCTGGATTTGATTGAATTCTCTCTTTAAAGTGGCTTGAGGTGACACGTGTAAGGAATTGCAGCTACAAAAATAAACCAAATTGAATTTAATCATTCAGAGCAGTGGCTCCCAAAATGTCCTTGCTGGCCTCCCTTATGTATTCAAGAAAGTTTTTGCCCCCCCTCATCTCTGACACATAGAATTCAAATTGCTAGATTGACTCCTTAACCTTGGAAAGGGGTTCACAGATTGATTAGTGCAGGTGTTTTGTTTTTGATGGGTGGCTGCGGGTCAATAAGCAGAAAGTTTTGTATCTGAAGGTTCAAACTTTTAGTTTTTTTTCTCCGATTCTTTCTCCTTCTGTCACATGTCGATATTGGCGAGGGAGAAATAGTGCGTTCATGCGGTATTGTTGGTAAATTATGGTACTACCAAAAATATCAAAAACTGACATGAAAAGCTAGAAAAAATGTATGATACCCAAGCTGTCAGAGACTAGGTAAACTTTGACCTCTCAACATGGCGGAGAGCACAGATTCTATGATGAGTACTGCACTGTTAAACGTTCTCTGTTGGTGTGTTTGTAACCTAGACAATGCTGTGACATACATTTCATTTCACAATATCACCATTTTAAGGTTTCAAAATAACCATTGATGTTTGACTTTATCAGAGGCTAGCTAGCTAGCAGTCCATCAAGGACTGATTTAGTGGAACCAGAAGATGAGTCCAAGTAGCAGGTCAGTGTAGTCTATGGAACCATGTTCCTCTTATCTACTGTAATTTCCACTTTACAAGAGGAAAGGGTCATCATTACCAGACCACATGAAGGCAGCATCCACCCTGAGTTTAAACTATTTTAGTGATCGGTATGACTAGATAAGTTATATAAATTCAGTCCATTTACCATCTGAAGCAGATGCATCTGGAAGTATGTTATAGACAGAGAAATTAAAAGGAATATCAGTCTCTAAATGTATAAAGCTGACAGAGAAATTTCCCAATTGACAAACATTTGGGTGGTAACATTGTAATCTTTTTTTTTTTTTCTTATATACAAAAGCAACTGCAAAATGCAACATTTAGGGGAGTGGCGGCCTGGTGGTTAGGGCATAGAACATAGAACATGAACTGTTCTAGTTAAACAGTTCAACTGAAACATCATTAGTTCAACTTTTTTATTTTCTTTAGTCCAACTGTTTTTAATGTTCTTTTTTGTTTCTGCATTTTTTATTTTATTTTATCTATTTGTTTTTTTCCTACTTGCTTTGATTCTGTTTTATTTACCTATATTTTAATCATGTAAAGCACTTTGCATTGTCTTTGTACTGAACTGTGCTATACAAATAAATTTACCTTGCCTTGCCTAGAGCTTGGAATCCTGAGGTTCTGAGTTCGAGCCCCACTCCCACAGACCCTTAACCCCACTCTGCTCCTCGGGCGCCGCACAAGGGGATGGGTTAAACACAGAGTGTTAATTTCTTTGCTCTGTGCTTGTGACAGTGTAATGACAATAAAAGCTGGGGGGAAAAAAGTTTTCTAAGCCATAACAAGGCCCCAGACATTTTGAATTGTGAAAGCTTGCTGAATGGGAAGCGAAATGTATTCAATCTTGGGGGGAAAAAAATTTTTTTTGAATGACTATTACCTGGATGACTGAGACTCTTCACTAGTGTATTTAAATGTATTAAAATAATGAAACCTATGCTGTTCTACAATATATAATTGAGACGTGTCTGTCGATGCAGCATTGTTTGAATAGTGTTGATCCTTTTACAGTTAATACAATGTTGGTTTTGGATCTCTGCAGAACTTACATTGATGCCCAGCTGTTTGTGAGTTGTAGGGCCACTTGTTTCTCTCTTTAGCTGCTCAGGCAGACTGATTCCTCTTGTACGAAAGTTCGTGTTGGTGGCATTATCAGCTCTGGGCTTCTTCTTTCCTACTTTAAGCTTGACCTTTTGGAAATCGTCCTGCCTCTTCTTCTTTTTGGCCTTCATCTTTAAGTACACTTAAAAGAAATCTGTAAAACAAACATGATACTGAATCAAATGACTGCATTTAAGCTGAGACAGAGTAAAAACGTTGTTGTTATTGTCAGGGATGTGGAATTAACATAAAAAAATATATATCAGAGCGCATGCACTATTGTTTGGCAGTTACCTTTTTTACATCCCTGCATCATGGAGCATGTGTTCAACTTACCACAAGGATACCGCGTCTAGCTTCAGCCTTCACTACCCCTCACCTCATCAAACATTAAATCTTACTAAACACTTATAAACCTAGTTTGAGGCTTTCATTTTAGATTAAAAGTATTTATTCGGTTTCCTCCCGGTTGTTCACTGGGTCCGTGATTCAATGCGTTGGGTTCATGTTGTTCATCAACCCGTTAGATTTGTTCAAATTACGGTTGTGGAGCTAATGACCAAAAACCCCCCCTAAAGAACAAACATGTGACTGGCGAGTTAATGGGTACGTTTTTGATTCCGAAATAAATGGAATTAAACAAATTGTCACAAACATTCCAGGAGATACAATAAAAGTCGTTTTAATTAAAGATAACACTACAAGCTCCTTTCTGGGCATTAGTTCGGTACGTCATGGTATTAAATCAAACGCACCCTATAGGTGTCCACACAAGCGCCTTATCAATAAAAATAGTTTAAGATCAACTACCCTAATATAAAAGACGAAATATAAAAATGTGTTAAAATTTTATGCAAAATAACCCATTTAGCTGTTCGTTTACTTAAAACATATCCCTTTTAATTTGTTTTTCGTTTTATTTTATGGGCACATATTTGTCTACCTAAACTCGTCAGAGAAGTGCCCATTTTATTCCGAAAGGAACAGTACAGACCGTCTGCAGGTTTATAGAAACTCTGGTTTTGCAATCAATTTCTCAGGTATGAGTGCTGATGCATATTTTTTGTCCAAGTTATGTGCCATTTATTGAGTTTTAGCTTTGATGACTTTGAGTTTATAAACAGACACCGCTGATCTTTAGGGAAACGAGTTCCATGGACGGTTAGCAAGGCCTCTGATGCAAATCGACGCTAAAATAATCTGAAATGTTGGGGGGGTTAGGGGAAAATATACGCAAACCTCGAATACTTGCTTTGGTTCTAATATATATTTCAGATAATTTATTAATAGCGAAAATGACATAGTTACATCATCAGTATACCATCGTCATGGTAGCGGCCCACTAATGAAAAATACAATTTCGATTGTATAATATAGATATTAACACCCCGTCCTGTTGTTTAAGATTTGATTATGTTTCGGTTTCTTGTTGCAGTGGTGAAACTATGGAGACTTACCAAATGGATGCGCAGGCTAATCCCATCGAAGATCAACCAGCACCAAATAATGGGCCCCCACTAATTAATGAGGGACCGTTCCAAGGGCCACCGTTTCTTCAGGAACCGATCCAAGGGCCACCTTTTCTTGAGGAGCCGATCCAAGGGCCACCTTTTCTTGAGGAACCGACCCAAGGGCCACCGTTTCTTCAGGAACAGATCCAAGGGCCACCCTTTCTTGAGGAACCGATCCAAGGGACACAGTTTCTTCAGGAACAGATCCAAGGGCCACCATTTCTTGAGGAACCGATTCAGGACCCATCATTAATTGAGGACCCGAATAATGGGCCACCAAATAATGAGCAAACGACTAACGAGCAACCGAATAATGTGCAACATCATCCTAAGAAAAAGAAAAAGAAGAAGGTATTTAATTTGCACTTGGATCTTCATAAACCTCAGATTTTTATTATTTTTTTTTGGTTCAGCCTTCAATCCGTCTAGGAACCATCCTAAGAAGTACAGTCCAAGCCCCTGGTTTTTATGGAACTGGGCTACTGGTTTTATCACACCCTGGTGCTGCAGCATCATTCAATACAAATCTCTCCATACATTGTTGTGCAGAAATCCCAGTTTTACTGGCACTGATTGTTGTCAGGGGTTTGGCTGCCAATTATTAAAGCCTAGAGCTTTACTTTTAGGAGATTTCTGCTGCCTAAATTGCAGTCGAGACAAAATTAATAATTAGCCTGTTTTTCAACCACACATGGTCCTTTAAAACCATTCTTAAGTGCATTGTTTGCCCCATGACTTTTTGTGGTACATGTGGTAAATATTAGAAACTAATTCTAGTGTGATTTGTTGTGCTATCCAGGTGTAACACCAGTGGGCAGTATCTTCTAATAAAAGTAGCAACATTCATATCAGTCCTTGGATGAAGGGCTGCAACTGTATTTATTTTTGCATCTTTTTCTGTTTATTAATACATCCGTCTGTCCAGATGAGCAGGCAGGTCTTTACCTCAGTGCTCTGTTATCTGGCTGCTCCAGACAAGGATGTGTTTTGAACGCTGGTTATCCTCAGTGTTACAGCTCTACGTTTCCCCCTGGAGAAGCGGTAACTTAATGTTGCTGTTCTGATGTGATGAGTATTCATCACTTGTACGGAGTCAAGAAAAGCCGATTCCCGTGGCAGTCTCTGCGTGACGTAGGGCTCACGGAGAATGAAGGAAATAAACTGCTCTGCGGCATGTATGGTGTAGGGGACGTGGATGAGGTGTCCAGTCCTCTGCTGAGTGTCATTCTGTCACTAATTCCTGTATGTGTCTCTCTCCTCCTTGTGGGTTTATTCCCTCCGTGCTGACAGAGAAAGCCACCGCAGTCTGGTGATATAGGTAAGTCTTCTGACACACGGCGCCACTTCCTGTGCTGAGAGCTGAAGCTTGAGACCTTGGTCTCTCTGCTTCAGCTTATGAGTGGTGGGGGCACATGCTCACTGCTCAGCATTTGGGGGACTATTTCGGTGCCATTCACACAGTTTTTAACTCTCTATTTGGCTCCTGTCTGACTCAACAGGCGGCCAGTTTAGATGGTAAAAACTTCTTCAATGGCGACACATTCTCCTGAGGTGTTGCAGCATTATAAGCAGCATCACTTTAGTTGGATAAGTGTTTAAACGTTTAAATGCTGGCAAATACAGTGTTTACACTGGTAACTTTCTTATGGACCCAATTTTCACCTGGTCATCATGTTATAAATGGGCAGATGCTTCATTTCTGTGGCACAGCAGTGAGTCCGGTGGAAGCACTGCATCTATAGTGTCTCACAGACCAGTGTGGGCCTAAGTGGGGATTGTCGGAGAGCTGTTCTCGTTTTTATCTCTGAGAATTCCAAAAGTTTGAAGCGGTTTGAATGCCTGTTGGTGTTCAGTTAATCAGAAAGTATGCTCCCTGGTTATTAGTTGTTGCAAATTTTGGAGTAATGCAGCCGGCTCCATCAGCGTATCATTAATGCAGTGAATAGTTGGTAGTTTTTGGGCAAGCAATTATTTTGATTACTGTTTAAAGTTATGTTGTTCTGACCACTGCCGTGTTTTTGCAGTGTTCTCCAAAGGAAATTCTTTCCAAACAATGCCTTCACTGAGCAAGCTGTTAAAGGACGCCACAGAAACTATCATCGGTAAGAAAATGAATAATTTCCCCCCTTTTTACAGGGCATGCTGCAAATATGAATTCATTTTTTTTCTTAAAAAGTTTTGGATGATAAAAAAAAAAATGTATAATAATGCATTATTGTGAAAGAAAATTAAAACATTGTTCTAGACAATTTTCAGCAAATAAAAATCATGTTTTCCGTACTTGTTTTTTAACTATGATAGTTCTTTGGGTCATATTTCTATTACCTTTATGCATCTTTATTCAGAATTTTTGTTATATATAATTCTAAAAAGCAAAAAAAAAAAAATTGTGTGTGTATGTATGTATATATATATATATTAGGGATGCATGATATAATCGGCCCCTATCGGTATCGGCCTTAAAACTGAATATCGAACATCGGCCACCCCACCGATATTTAACCCGATATTTGATCAGCTTCTGAGTTTCTAAAGTCTTCCTCAAAAACTTCTTTTTTACAGACTTAAAAACTTCTAAAGACGAGGGAAAAAATATTGATACATTAAAATATCACAATATCTTCATATGCTGATATATTG